CCCCCCCCCACCCCCCCCCCCCCAAAAAAAAAAACACTCACCCCCCATCTGAGCAGGTACGATGAGCATCCATTTTTTTGTCTTTGCTGGGTCTAAGCTGCAGCTTCATGTTAGTTCAGGGGTTCAGGGTTTTGTGTCGAGGGATTCGGCATAACATATTCTAATGCTCTGGGAATCTGATGGTCCGTTCATGCCGTTATGATTGCAGCAAAATTCGTCCAAGGTCAACTACGCATTGTCATCGACAACTCATATGCCGAACTGGAGATGACAAGCCCAGACGCCACATCCATCTCTCATGATGACTTCGTGAAGATCAAGCCCGATGCTCTGTTGATGCCAGCACGTATGGAATCGCGGCACGGCATGTGCTTTGATAAATGACAATAATGCTTTTGCATAATCGCAGATTCGCAGAAGCGCAGATACACAGGTAGGCCAGATCCTAAGGTCTCTAGAATCCGCGATTCTGCGGTTCTGCGATTGTGCCAAACACTGTAAGAGTCGTCTAAAGTGACCCACGTAGCCGCTCACAGCATCAAGCATTAGCAGTCGACTCGTGCTTCTGTCCTTTCCCGGCATGGACGCAGACAACATTCACTTCGGACAGGCCGAGGAGGCCACGGAGCAAATGGTGCTCCGCGAGCCTCACGAACACGTGTGTGTTGCGCCAATGCCGCTAGGGGCTGTTAATATTACGAATCCCTATACGTGAGTCACTCGTACATGATATTAACCTTTTTCTTGTTGGACTCCTAAATATGAAATAAACCTACTCTCAAACGTTATGAGATCGACAATATTTGTTTTCCTGATACAAAGGTTCTCATCGCCAGCCCAGCTCATGACTCACTTCCTCGATGTTTGCCACAACGTTGCAAAGACTGACCTGGACATCGACAGTCTCAAAGGCAGTTTCAAAAACAAGGCTTGGAGCGACCTGCCTGTTCTCATGAAGTTGAAAGGCAATCCCAATCTTGACTACAAGACACAGCACTTCATTCAGGAGCAGTTGAATGGCAACTACATGACCATCAAGCTTGTCTATTTGACAAAGCAGCGATTCACGCAGACGAAGCTGGAGTCTTTTGCTGTGGGAAAGCTTTACGAAATTTCTTGGGGTCACGGCAACAAGGTTGTGGAGCGGAAAGCTCTGCAATGGATGCTGGAGCAAACTGGTGGACTGCAATTCAGACATTTATCGCTCTCTACTGAGAAGAAGAGGCCTATATCGTCATCTGCTATGGGCACAACTTCTACTGAGGATGACCAAGACGCGGGATGGGACTTCATTTTGGACTATGGTGAGCGTGATAGAAGCCAGTTGAAACAACTCCGTGGGATCCACAAGCACATCAACAAAGATGGCTGTCCCATTCGTGGTTGGTCTGAAAAGCTTGTGCAGCGAGCTTTGGACTGCCTAGCCAACGATAGTTGTCTCGCAAAGCTCATCACAAGGTATGACCTCACCGTACAAGACCTTCATCCAACCTTTCTGGAGAATATCTTTCAAGATGCCATCGGCTTTCTATTGGATCACAGCCTATGGTTGATGGGAGAGCCCGGGGCTGGGAAAACCCCTTTGGCTCGCATCACCGCCATGCTGTTCAGCAGGTATCATGGAGGAGACGGACACGTTCGCAAGCACACCTTGCCCAAGAGCAAAAAGATACTTTCCGTGAAAGCAGGCACCCAAGTGATTGACAGATGCTGGAAGTTTCTGAAGGATCGTATCCAGATCAGTCAACACAGTAAGGCAGGCTCGCGTTTGCTTCGAGCGAAGCTCAGAGCATCACAGTACGAATATTGGTACCGCAACATGGACCTATGGTTAATTGCGGGGAGTTGTGTGCCGATCACATGAAGCAGTTCATGTAAATATGTTGCGGCTATGTCTATGATCGCCAGCTGATGACGAGACAAGTCACGGATAGCTGCGATGCTGTAGCAAGTTTTGCGTGCAACCTTATCATGTGTGTTGGTGCCGCTGGATGTCACCTATGTGATCGGCGAGTTCATGGGCGGCTGCTTTGCAGAGCTAGCTTGTGTCAATATTGTTTTCTTCATCGAGATAACATTAGAACTGTTGCTCAGGTTCTGCCGAGGATGAAGATGTCTTCGTTGGGCCTGTGCCCGTACCCTGTGCACCAACACTACAGGAACGTTTCGTAGATACGTTGCCAGATGGGTTCTTGCACACAAACAGTATAGTTATTCCTTTATTGATATGGTCATGCATAATTGACAATTGCTTTGTGTTGTGAATACGAATCTAAGGAAAGCCAGTGCCGCAAAAAGGAGAACTGGTCTTTAAGCTGACGCGGAATAGTGAAGCGCCCTTGTCCGAAGAAAACATGTTTGCGTTGTCGCGTTGACTCCGTGAGACTTCTGCTGCGAAAGGAACTGAAGAAAAAACGTGCGCTTATGCACATCCATATGCTCATGATGCAAGCGGGATTTAAAAGCCGCGCGGTTTCGGGTTTGAAGGGAGTTTAAAGGATTTGTGTAAATGGGGATGGTATGTAAACATGTAATAGTGTGCAGCGTGCTGTGGTGCTCTGCAACAGCGACTCGACTACATTAAAATTTCGGCTCGAGTGGTCGAGAAAAGAGGATTAGACTAAATATGTTTATGTTGTTGTTGGCTCCACAAGCTACAAGTTTCAAGAGTTCTCTTTTCTTGCCCTAGCAGTACTGTAGAGTCATTAGGCTTGTAACCATGACATACCACAGTCAAGCAGTCGAGAACAACACCGACTAAACTAAATATGTTTATGTTGCTGTTGGTTCCACAGGCCACAAGAGTTCTCTTTTCACGTCTTAGTCACACTCTCCTCCGCAGACTACCTCTTGGAATGCAGCTAGCAGGTCTTCCCCACAGTCGACCCTTTAATCTGCAGCGACCACACTGCCGCCCTACCGGTTCTTGTGGGATGTTTCGGTTGTCTTCTACGTATACGGCAAGTCGTACCACGGCAGCAGGGCAGAGAACGGCTACAGTTACAGGGCAAACTGCAGCGAAGTTCAAGGCCCGGACAGAGATCCATACCTTCATGCACACGCTGGATTTCACCACTGCACTATGGAGAGGACTTACAGTAGCATGAAGTGAAGGGACCTACTTGGAGACTTCTTGTGGTGGCTCATGAATGTTCCTGAGGGTACGCGTAGCTTGCATGTAGGCGTGTACTGTGTCCGTGGACGACATAGGAGTCCAGCGGTTGCGTGGATGATGTCGTGTATGGTCCAAGGGCTCGGCTGCCGCAGTGTGTATACCGAGTACATAAAGCGGGCAGGCTGGTGACTTGTCTCGACTCTGCACAACTTGCCCAAGCTGTGCTTTGGCCAGTGACGCAAAAGCTAGGCTTGCAGAACAAATAGAAGAAGACACGAGACTTGGTTAAGTCTCTCCGGCAGAATATGCGTCTCACCTGACAACGGCCCGTCGCGGGATGTGCAGACAGCTGGAGGAAGAGAGAGAAGGAGTGAAAAGTGTGTGTCCGAGTTTGCCCGCAGAGGGTCACAGTCAGAGCTACTGGAAGCGCAAACACTGTTACATCAATGCCAAGCTCATCTGAGGGGAGCGAGGTTATACGCTATAACGTGTACCAAACCCTCACGCAACTACTACTACGACTACGACGACGACGACGACTACTACTACTGCTACTACTACTACTACTATGACTAGTACCCATACTATTTCTATTTCTATTACACTTGCTCTTGCTATTTCTATAACCATTACTGCTGCTATTGCTGTTACATTACTGTTACGATTTCCATTTGTATTGCTGTGTTGAGTACAACTTCTGTTTTTCCACTATTGCTATTTCTATTAGTGTTACCATTACTATTACCAGCGACTGCTACTGTCACTCGTACTATTCCCATTACTATCACTATTACTGATACTTTTACTTCTGTTAGTTCCTTTCTACTATTACTACTGCTATTACAAAACTATCGTTGCGATTGTTGCCAGTATTGCTGATAATATGTTTCTTATTTCATTATTGCTATTACTAATAATGCTCTTCTTATTCGCATTGTTACTGTTTGACCTCTTATTGTTGGTATACTACGACGACGACGACTACTACTACCACTACCACTACTACTACTACTACTACTAGTACTACTACTACTACTACTACTACTCCTGCGGCTGCTGCTGCTGCTGCTACTACTACTACTACTACTATTGATATTGTTATTTCGACTGTTGTTTGCTAGTGTTCTCGTGTTTGGCATGTTTTCGTGATTTTCGTCATTCGCTTACGGTTCAGGATGTAGGGATTATAAATATTATGACGTGTCCCTTGCTAGTACCAATAATGCTGCTATTGCCACTGCAATTTTTGTGTGTTCAGCGTTTTGCACGTGTTCGTTTTTAATGGTTTTGTTTCGCGGTTTGAGTGGTTTTCACATTTTTTGCACCTATCCGGGTGTTTCCGTTTAACCACGACACACGAAACATTTCCACAGCGAGTCTGGTGGCATGTGGTTTCCGTCCATGCCAATTTTTCTCCAACTGACTTGGTTCCAAGAGAGGGCTCTCCTCCCTCCTAAGGTAGCTATGTTTGGGCTAAACCATAGAATTTGTGTGGGAATGTGCTTGAATCATCGATGCAGCATGAGCTTGTGAAGCTGGATAAGATTTCCCTGAAAAAACGAACTCGAGCGACACGCGCAAGACAAGCCCGTGCAAACCTCTACACGTACATCTGAGGGCTGCCCGCTTAGCCAGATGGTGCCCTCCCCAGATCTCAGAATCTGCTCGCGAGTTCCTTCTGCACCCAACCGAACCTTTATAGGTTCTTCCTGCAATCGGCAGTGCTCAAGGCATGCTGGGCATGCCGTTTGTGCAGTCAGCGCTGTTGTGTCTTGATCTCCCCCATGCACACACATTGCGTGTGAGGTATGGAGCTTTGCAACAACGCATACTGCCATCGACTGAGGCGGGGTGCCAAAAGTCTGCATGGAATCGACAAAACACAAAGTCCCTGTGACATTTGCGGTAAGTAATCAGAGGTTGTTCTTTGTCGCACGTGCCAAGTGGGACTCAGCAACCCAAACCCAAACCGAATCCAAGACCAGCACAAGCAAGCCAAAGCAAAGGCCAAGCCAGCTGTTGGTCGTTTCCGCTTTGTAAAGGCATGTAGACGTAGACCGTAGACCGTGTTCGCAAGTGCATCAACTCCGCCAGATGCGCAGGCGAATTCAGAAATCCAAAATCTTTCATCTGAGCTTGGACAGGGATGCCCTCGGAAACAACTATTGCTATGCTGGCATGGTGTCGATAGGTGACTACCAGGCACGTGAACATGCTGCTCCATTTGCACTTCACAACCAAGCCTGTGAATGCGCCGGTCGACGACTCAGGTAGTTGAGGCGACGCTAAGAAGCGGACAGTCTCGAACGGCGCTTCTCGGGGCGCAGGCCAATGAAGCGAAGCACGACGAGCCATTTTAGATGCAATGTTATTGCCAGAGGGATCAGAACAAGGAGCCGATCCGCCGCAAAGGGACAAATGGACGAGTTCGGAAAGTAGCGGAGAAGTGACTTCGTGAACCGAGACAGCTCTGACAGGCCTTGACCAATCTGCCAAAAGTGGACCGTGACATCTTCTTTTTGCAGATGCCGAATCTGGCAACCTGGCTGCGGAAGTGTGGAAATTTATGCGTCATGCCTCGTGCATGCCTGGAACCTTTTCAGTGGTCTCCGAGTCGTAGCCCCTGATACAGTCGATGCCACAAAAACTTGACAAAGCTTCGATAGCTTGGCCTCAAGACAAGACAGAGGAGCGATACCAGTTGGACTCAGGATGTGAACTCCTTGCACGAGAGGTGCGAGATCTTTGCAGTTCACAGTCGCGTGAGTCGACGTTTTCTGCGGGAGCCGAGGTTCGTCGCATGCTTCAAGCACTACATGTTCAGCAGCGGCCTCGTGTTTACAGCCCGTCGATCGGTGCATCATGCTCAGACTCAGGTGAGGGGTTTGCAGAACGGATGAAGTCCGAGAAGGCAGCACGGCTGTGGGCACAGCTGGCCGAGGACCACTCGCGAGAGTGAAGAGACGGAGCGTGCTAGCTACTGTACGAATTGCTTCAAGTTTTGTCTCGTACCCAATGGCCCTTTCAGGACTACCGGCGAATGCCGCATGGGCCTGGTGAAGAGTTCCACAAAGCCTCAGACAAAGGCCTGCTGCGGCTCGCCACTGGCGTGCGGTCGAGATGCCATGTACTTGTGATCAGGTCTACGGGGCTTTTTCATCAGGTATTTCTTCTACGCCGCTCGCCGCGGACATGTGAACTATCGCACCCGACCTATTCAAAAGCTCAGGTGATGATCGGCCTCGATCCTGAAGACCCTGAAGTGATGAGAACGCTTGTACCGCTTATGCAGGGCGATACCCCGACCCAGCCTCAGTCGCAGAGGCTGTGTACTGTGCAGAGCTGGTGACTTTGCCGATGATGTTGAGCCAGAATTGGGGCTGTGAGACATATGTCAAAATTGTGTCAAGCATCAGAGCAAGGATTGGTTTCGCGTACTTGTGGCCAATGGCGTGATGCTCATCTCTGATCTCGACGTGAAGCGGACATGCAGAGTACAGCGAAGCGCTTCCCCGGGCTTCCAAAAACCCACTACATCTGCTCAGGCGAGGTTGGGAATTCTGAACGGCTATATTAACGAGATAGATTCGAGGCCAGAGTATCTGCAAGATATCGTGTTCATGGCTTCATACTTTCGGCACGCATCGTGAGAGAAGGATATACAACAGCCCTGCCCTTTCAGACTTCACAGAAGGCCGGGATTTGTCGGATCTGTTCTTGCCAGGCTGTGTCATTCGCAAAGGTGCCGTCTCTGGCATTGTCGCAGGTGAAGAACGCTATGGCAAGATGTCAAAGCTGGAGCTGGCGAGGCATCGCGGCACTTATCTAAGCTTTAAGAAATACTGGGCTACTCACTACCGCATTCTAGACGGACAATCCCAGCCTCGACGGGGGACCGAAGTTTCTGTCACCTCAATAGAGTCCTGTTAGTTCTTGTGCTACATCAGCGAACGGAGTGCCGACGGGTATGCCAAGGCTGTCAACCTGCATCTTCAGATTGGCAGCGATCACTGGCACGCTTCAGCTGGCCACAACCCTGGTGACCTACTCGTAATGCTTCATTGGAGATAACTGTGGCGGTTTCTGGCTTGCAGGCCAAGTCCATTACCGGCGGTCTGAAGCTGCCGGACTACAAGGCTGCAGTGCTTTTGTCGTGCAGACTCGTAAAGTCTAAAGCGATTCGAGAAGCAGCGCACATGCCAGTGCACAAGAATGCATCCTGTCTTCGCCGGGTAGAGCTGTCAACCCAAAGCCTTGCTGTGGATGATCCTCAGTGGTCATGGTGTATTCTCCTAGCAGCCATACATCCTTCCACACTTGCATCTTCCGATGCAGGACATGGACAAAATTGACATACCGTCACAGTGGGACAAGCTTGATCTCAAGGCTGCATCCGATGCTAGCTTCGAGATTCAATAATTTCACAATGACCGTGACCGAGCCGAGTGATGGGTCGGAAGTCTACATGGAATTTTCGGTGCGATATATCACTGGAGGACGATGTTGCCTTGCAGAATTTCTGCTACGAGGCAGGCGGCTTGGTGCAATCAGTGTGCAAGACTTCTTTGCGGATCGGTTCACAGATGGCCTGATGAGTTGCAAAATGCAACTATTCTGAATTGTGTCGCACCTTTGTCGGGAGGCAAGAGGCAGGCATGCAAGGCATCCGTGCCGAGAGTCAGAAATGCGCATTGAGCACCCCCTGGCCTCGCGTCGAAGTTGTTGTCGTTCACCCTCCATAACAGCAAAAAGTGAGACTCGTTGAGGTTTGGTGACGTGAGGTTTGCTCCGCGAGCTTGTATAGGTTCACGGTGGCTCTCCGAATTCTGGGCTGATAATGCATCCAGTTTGCACCTGACCGATGGTGGCCAAGAACCTCAGAACTATCAGATTGCTAAGATGGCTACACTTGGCAACACACGAGCACTACACTGCAGCCATGCTCACCTGCTGCAAACGGGCAATTTCGGCATCATTCGGTTTCGCTCTCAGCTTCACAGGGAAGAAAGGGGTGAAGCGTGTTCAACTTGCAGCGGGCTTGCCTTAGTCTGGGACAGACCCGGAAGCAATGACTTTCTCAAGTTATTGAAGCGCCCCTGCTGACCCCTCATTATAATAATTTAGATCTTATCGAGAACGCTTGCGGCGAATCAGCGGCCGCTCCCCAAAGCTGTCGCCAGATTTGTTGTTTCTTTATAGGTTTTTTCGACCCCTGTTCGTGGGAGCTTTTTTGGCAGTGCGGCAACAAAGCAGAAACGTGCATGCGCTGTGTACGGTGAGGAAAGTTATCAGGGGCATCAGGGAACGTAGATACAATGTTCAACGAGGTCGTTACCTATACGACTCCTTC